CTGGCCCCCTGCAAGTGTGCTTTCCTGGTAGTGAGATTTGAAGATGTCTTGGGGGGGGGGGCTGTGTAATATACCAGACCATTTTATGCCGAAGCCAAGAAGTACATGTTGTCCATGCCCCTAACAGCACGTCACGACCCTCCCCGTAGTCCGTCTGCCGGCTCATGCCAGACCTTCTCAAAGAGAGACTTTTATTGTATTAGGAATCCAGAAATATCCACATGCAGCTTTTATAGATGGTGTTCATGGTCGAGCTGATTCATCACATGCTTTGTGACGGATTTGGAAATGATTTATACTCTGCTAGCTGCCACCGTGGCTTATGGAAGTGTAATTAGCGTGTTTTTTTGGTTGTCTGAAATGTGTCCGGTTCACCTCTACCTGACCTTTTGTGATTCTAAAAGGGGAAAAATGGAAGGTCGTGTTCTGGTGATGGTGAACCCACAGTCTTTGGGGTCATTCATCTTAAGGGCTTGTAACTCAAAGGTTGATAGTTCAGGTACCAGAATAGGCCACAACTCGCTTGGAAAAAGGTATCTTACCGTTCCAGTAAAATGTTCAATGCAAGGTTTTTTGTTTACAGTTAATCAGTTAATCAAGATTGACTCGAACGCTCTTTGCGATTTGTTTTGAGATCACTGTACTTTGTCTTACGTATTTGTTTAACTGTATGCTTAATTGTTTACATCATACCCCCATTAGCATTCCTTGTACACAATTCCTTGTACTTGGCGAATAAAGATTCTGATTCTGATCAGGTCGGCTTGTGTTGGGGGTGGTATCTGTAACCACTGTATGTACAGTTAATGCTGGTTCTCTGATGGATGTAGCTGTTTTGTATGTGCGTCACATGGTCTGATTGTACAGCTGCTTAGGTTCCCACAGTCCTGCTCGCACAGTTATTAGATAAATGCTTATTTGACAATTTTGCAGCTGTCTAATGCTGGGCTCTCTCGTCCCCCGCTGATCTCTTACATTTGGGCTCTTTGACCCATATTGTTACAGTGCCATAAATAAAGCTGCTGTTGATCATTTATCTGTAATGCTTGCAGCACTTGTGACTTGGAAAAATGTGGTGTGATTGTTATAGAATAATATGACGGTCCGAAATGCAGGGGAACGTTTTTGTTTCGCAAATCAATCATACCATTTTTTTCAAATATGTAAACTTGTTTCTTTGTACTTGCCCTGTCAACATTTGTGTAGAACTCATTACAGATGGCAGAAGTTTCCCCTTTGGCCCCTGGTGGGTCACCCCAGAACATTCTGTGCCGTGATTACTATTTGCAACCAGGTAATGCTCATGTTTGAATCTATACTTTGTTCTGGTCACACGAGCAGCCTGTTGCTCAGTGTCACACTGCCTCCAGCCTCCAGTGGCCAACACTGTGATTTATGGGAAATTGCTTCTTTCAAATGTGATAGCAAGCCCCCCCCCCGGCAAAGATCTGTAGAAATGTTGAGACAAATGACATGTATACCCAAAAAGAACTCCAGCCTGATTCCACAATGTCTCTATTCTTATGATGAATTACAGGCACCTCACCTGTCATTTGCCGATTGGTTTGTCCATCGCTCTGCATTCAGGTGCCTTTAGTCATGCTGCTTTCCCTGTTTCCTCCTGTTTCTAATGTATTCTTGGTGTCTGTGCGGTGAAGTTATGAATGAACATGGCCTATTTGGGGCTGCCTATTCAGGGACGCAGCTTCACACAGAGTCTGTGCTACGGAGGCTTAGAGCAGATTTCTAGGAGTACGGAACATTTTTCTAAAAATGTCCAGGAGGAGAGGAGCCTGGAATTCCCACTGCTGCCTCGAGGCCCCTAATGATGTTAGCAGAAGCTAATCCGCGTACCTCGGCTGCTGGACGCATTAGGCTGAGGCTCCCTGTCAGCTCCCAGCTCCGTAACCACAAGCTGCGGGGGCTTGTCTTTCCGACCTACCAGGCTTCGGGGAAGCTGTGTCTGGACCTTAGCCTTCTTTCATGCATGCAAGGTCTGGTATCTCCACCAAGTTCCCGTAATGCTCATCAGTAAACTCTGCATGTCGTTTGTAAGCATGCAGTCTCCTGTTTGGTTACAGAACCAAAATGTTAACGAAACATCAGAAAACGTGCCTTTGGCTTAGGATGATGTAATTTAATGCTATAATGTATTACAGCCTGCATTTAGCCTTTGGAAGCATAAAACAATGCAGTGGAAACCCTTGTGTTGGAAAAGCCTATAGGTATTTGATTGATATGAACACAGAATGTTCACCAGAGTTACCGGTTTACCAGTGCTTACCAATACATACTAAGCAGTAACTCTTCTGCTTAATTCAGCGCATGTATGAGTACCAGTGCAGCACCAGTTATGTCCATGATGGCCACTGCTTGGGGTCTTGCCTGGCTGCCTGGTTTGTGTTTGCTTGTACCCAGTCTACCCCATACCCCATCCTCTAATCGCTTCATTCCTTTTGAGTTGCCTCCGTGTAATTAACTGTGGCGTATTGTTTGGGACACTTTTTTTTATAGCTGTCTGAGCATCTGGGTTGGAAGCTGCTGTCCAAGGCCCTGTGAGAGCAGCCCGCCAGGCCTGTGGTCCCTGGCAAGGCAGTAGGGGCCATGAGAGGCTGATTCAGATGTCTGCCTTACATCTGCTCATCACGGTCAGCTCCTCTCCGAGTGAAAAGGGCGCTGTGAGTCCTTTCCGCCAGAGTGCCGTGTCTTATGTACACTGACTTGACTAGATTAGACTGCACTGACTGTACTCATTTGTCTGTGGGTAGATGGTCATTATTTTTGGGTGTGCTTCGGTGGACTGTGCAACTTCTGCTGTATCTGGGGCATTCACAGGGGCATTCACAGGGACATTCACAGAGGCATTCACAGGGGCATTCACAGACAGGAGAGGCCGGACGGACGGGAGAGACAGACAGGCAGACAGAGTTTTCCACTGGAGGTGGTGCGCTTTCCGACTGTCAGTCCAGTTTCAGTTCATCTTTGCACTGACTAAACACTGTTTTTAAAACCTTCTTCATTAAAGGGTACCTTTGTAACATTACTTGACCACAAAGACTGATCTAAATGCTGTCTGGAAAAGTGAATCAGTCTTGTCATCACAGTTGTATTCAAACACTAAATATATCCTCATTTCAGCCATACTTTAATTATCTCTTAGTACGTCCAGGAAATACCTAATGCCTGGTAAACATGAGGTAGGAGGTTATTCATAGTGTCCCACTTTAACATTTAAGTTTCTCATCTGTCCCATTAGAGTTGTGTGTGTATCGTGCTTTTTCTATTTTTTTCCCCCATTTACTTGATTGTAATTTGCTTTCAGCTCAGCTAAGTCGTATGCCTACAGAACTTTACTAGAGCCCGAGGATGGGTCAGGTGGGACCCCTACCATGGTCTCCCAGTTGCAGGCTACCAGAACATTGCTCTGGATCCACTTTGGTGTTGTTTTGATCTGGTCAGCAGATCTGCCTATTTCCTGTAGTTTCACACTCCATGCCTTGTAATTTGCATGATTAGACAGGTTAACAAGTGCTATAAAAAAGAATCATCATTGGGCTAATCTCAGTCAGGGCTGTGAAGGATCCTCATCCCCACCCAGATGCCCTAGTCTCAGTAAGGGCTGTGAAGGATCCTCATCCCCACCCAGGTGCCCTAGTCTCAGTCAGGGCTGTGCGGGATCCTCATCCCCACCCAGGTGCCCTAGTCTCAGTCAGGGCT